TTCGCGTAGAATTCAATGGTACAAACGGGAATTCATGAAACCAACTAATAAGCGAGATATTTGCGTAAATAGACTGCGCATTTTTGTANAAAAGAACAGACACTGATAACAAACATTGAACAAGAAAGCAGAACTGGATTGAGTCACTGTAGTCCCTAATTTAGTTCTAAACTGCTAATTTGAAGAACCATGAGACACACCTCAGATGTGTAATCACTCGGTTCGGGCCAGAGAAACCTTGAACTACATGAGGTCATATCGGTGAAGTTTGAGGGGTCAAAGGGCTGTAATACAAAAAGAAAGGTAAACTTCTGACTCCTGAATGAATTCAAGACCACATATTCTAGATAAAGAAACTGCATAACACTTAAATTGTGGCGAGAATGAAAAGAGAATGCTCAAAGAAAAGAATGTCAGGGTTTGGACTTGTGGAACTGATTCTCAGAGTGCACATTACAATGAGCCGATAGGCTGTGGATGGTTGTCAAATGCTTTCTTGAAGTCGAACATGGACTGTAATTAATGAAAATTAAAAGATTTCGAGTTGCTTGGGTGCTTGGGTCCTTCCTGTTATCAATTTTCGTTTGTTTACAGTCCCGGCGTTGGGAGCGTTGGACGTTTTCGATGGCCGATGCTCAGTCGGCGCTGCGCAGCGCTGCGACAATCCTATTGGCTACAAATGTGACGTCATTCGTATATTAGGCGAGCGGGATTTACAAAAATGCGCAGTCTATTTACGCAAATATCTCGCTTATTAGTTGGTTTCATGAATTCCCGTTTGTACCATTGAATTCTACGCGAAATTCTGATGCAGATTCATGTGCTTAGAGCCTCCAGTTCTTACCCTGTCTAGAGGCTCATTTGGTAACATTGTTCCGTCTCCATTCAAACCTATGAAAACGTATCGATTCTCGGAAGGGCCAAGTGCTTCGACAATACTGCCATGCTAACTTGCTAAGGAAAAACGCCTTATGAGCATTCAGGTGTTGCCATACCTCCTTTAATGAAAAACGAATTTACCGGGAAAATTCAGAATATTATTCCTCCAATTTTTCAGATAACTTTGTTGAGAGTTGAATCTAAAATATCTAAAATTTTCAAGGGAAAATATGCTAAACTCTCTTCAAAAAAACATATTTCATTCGAGGAAATTTGGCAACTCTTAAATGTTTATACGGCGTTCTTACTTCGCGGCAGAATATGCTTCGACGATGCTTCAACTTCTACATATGGTTAAAGAGGAACTTTTTTCTAACTCATATTGGGAACATAACACAATTGTCGTTAGTTTCCCTAAGAAAGTAGGTGCTTTTATGGGTGAGCCAAAAATAGTAGTCCCTCATACATGGATTAATGTCCCCTGGTAAAAATTGGCGATAAGAGCTGCGTTTCAAAATACCATAGGAATTCTTATAGCCGGCTAAAGAAGGCTATAGAAAATCATATAGCCGGCTGTAGAATGCGGAGAAAGTCATACGGTCGGGCTATACGAAGTGATAAAAAATTATGCAGCCGGGCTATAGTTCCTATAGCCGGGCTTTACACTTTGTCGCTTGGCTGTTTCTTTTTCGCCATTGATTATAAAAGGCTATTAGAAATTGTGTGGAAATTCGTGTGCTTTGGAAATCATTAAGTTTGATACGGAACCACTTTAATATTTACAAAACACACATTATATTTTCCTTTAATACATATTTTTTTCATCAATTAAAATGAGAATAATCCATACAGGATGTGCAAACATTTCAAAATCATGAGTTGAATAATGCTGACTCCGCCAGACTAAATATTAGAGCCTAGCACAAAGCGGAGCGGCGACGCACTGGCGCCTACAAACCTAACAGGGATACTTCACGCATTGCGCAACGCGTGAAGTATCCCTGTTAGATTTGTAGGCGCCAATGCGCGTTTGGAGCTGGCTGCCCGCCTGCCGCACCGCAGCGTGCCACGGCGCTTGAAGCAACTCTTTCACACCAGAGGTATTGCACAGTATCATAGGAAACTGAAGGCGCTCTACTATATGAGGAATGGCAGCCATCCATCAAAAGCACGGGAGCTTTCCTCGAAAAATAAATCAAGATACTACGGCCCAAAAAGAGAGCAGTGGTCCAAAAACTCACTGAGTCCTAGCATCCGTAATTAGTGACGTTTATCATACACTTATCGCCTGGCTGTGAGTTGCTGAATCGCCAACGGTTATAAAAGGCTATAAGAAATTGTGTAGCCGGCTAAAGAAGCTATTAGAAATCTTACAGCCGGCCGTAGGTCTATGGTATTTTGGAACACAGATTCTACTGCCAATTTTTACCAGGGTCACATTGACGGAATAGGTGCATTCATGGATAAGCCAGGGATAGAGCTAAATTGCAAAGTAAAATCCAATTATGCACAAAACTAAAGGATTCCTACAATACCAGAAAGTAAATCGACATGACAAATGGCCCTGGGTAAAAATCCTTCATACTAGCATCAGTCTTCCATCATTCCTGCTTCTACAAATATTCAATTGTACGTAAAGAAAGACTAATCATGCTTGTAATTTAACAAATGACAATCAGTAGATTGATGAAGCACAAATAGTTTTTTTTCATTAATTCTGTATTGCTTTTACTCAATTTAAATCAATCAGCTCTTTTGAAATCTTTTTCACAAAAACTTATTAATCTTTTCTCTTTGAGCGGGGAAAATCTCTTAGTGATTGAAGAATAAAACAAAATTGCACTCGTTCAGCAAAAGTGAACATGCGAAAAAACTGAAAATATTTCCAGTCGTTCATATCCGCTCGAACTATGATTGTTTTTCAAAGGCCGGCATTTCCATTCGAAATTCTTTCATTTGTGCCTTGAGACCATTCATAAAACCCAGATTGAACGTTGTGCGTCAATTGGTTCTCATTCCCATTACTTACATTTATACTATTTTTGCTAAACGGAACCAGAGGCAGATGGAAAAGAAGGGGTGTGCTCGTTAATTCTCGGGCCGTAAGAATGAATGGTAGTTATAGAGCGCCAGTGACGTCAGTAGCAAGGGAACGACGGGCACGGGCTCTTCAACTCATGAGCCCTATCCACGACGCTCTTTTGACAAGCCCAAGGCTCACGAGTTAGCACACAGTTGACGCTTAGTTCCGTTTGATTTAATACAAAATCCCGCTTTTCTATTTCCCCCAAGAGGAATCACGCCCACTTTTACATTGTTTCTTATGCAGCTCACCACGAGCACACCCCATCTTTCCCACACGTCCCTAGCTCTGTTTAGCAGAAATGCGTCCATTTCACTGTCAGTATTTTTATGCAAAGGCTCATGTTCTCGTGCGATTCTCGTGACTTTCAATGGAGCCTTTCGTGGTTTCTGTGTGCTTTTCATTTCGGAATGATTTCAACTGCTCGAAAACTGTTCATCTCTCTGCTCACAACAAGTTTAATTAAAGTCCTCACTTTATATTTGAACAGAAAAACAAACTAATTACTAAGAAATCGAGAGAGGCGCGTACCCTGTGCAGCCTGAGTTTCCTGCGATAGTAAATACGAGGCGTTTATTTCTCTACCGCGAAAAAGAGAAATCAGTGAGGCGGGAAGCCACTAAATTTTGTTTACATAAATAAACAGCCAAGAGGCCTGCTCAGAAAAAGTTGCCGTGAGCAAGCTTTGAAAGTGGGTGCACGCTTTTAAGCGAACTTGCTGCAAAGTTGCGGATGGACCGCACAGTATAGCGAGTCGAAGAAAGAGATCGGATATGCTTCGGAAACTTTAAAAAATGGTGTCTAGAAGTATTGACCATGCTCAAACTTTGATTTTTACCTGATTTATAGGAGCTCATTCCCAGGTGAGAAATCAAATTTTATTTCCCACTTCTCCAGATATTCTCCAGAAAATGTGTATACCTCTCCGAATCTCTAATTCTGAACATCGATTTTTCTCTTACGATATCTCAGCCGAATCTTTAGCGCATATCAAAATCTTTAACTCCATTAGCGTTTTTTGTGTTTGTGTTATCTGATCCATGTGAGCTTCCCTGTTATTCTGACGATTTAGAGATTCAATATGTCAATAATGACGGCTCAGGTACAATAACAACGTTAAAATGGTCTGCGAACGATAGAAGAAGAGATTTTCGGTTTCTGGAACAGATTTTCGGTTTCTGGAACAGATTTTCTTAATTTCGCCTGCTTTTTTCTGAACTCCTTCATTTCCTAATGAATCCCAGTTTTCCTGGTTCTAGACACCATGTTTTAAAAGCTTATATCTTCGTTAATATAGAATATAAAATTTGAAAGTGGTTGCATTGATTTCATCGTAGAGTTTCATCTCCAGAAACACTCCTTGAAAGAAAGGATATCAGCAGGTGTTAAAATCGGTCCAATTCCAGAGTCCCGATATTTGTCGATATTTTGCGGTCGACGACATATATTTTACAGAAGCGTTTATGATTTGGTGACAGTCAAATTTATTGGCTTCCAAACGAGCTGGGGCTCAACTTTGAGGTCGAAGACCAAAATCTACGAAAATACGCGGTTTTCCAAAGTTCCACATTAGATTTCATGCTGGGCCCAAAAGACTTTTTAATGAGCTGTAAATATGTTATTTGGTACAAATCAGATGTAAAATATGTGGAAATGGCAAACCTTTTCCTTCGGGCCTGCGACGAAATCAATTTGGAACTCTGGACGATGCGAATTTTTGTGGATTTTTGCCTTCTGAACCAAGCTTACGGCCACCCTTTTGAAGCTAAAAAATAAGAGTATCATCGAAGTTTCGGTAAAATATACGTCGTTAATTGCAAAGTATCGAAGAATTTCGATATCCTGTGAGTGGGCCGATTTTGGCCCTTATCAATACTCCTTTATAATGTTACGAAATATAACTCAAAATGTGCAATTATCTACACTCGAAAAGTGCATGCTTGACTTCTTTCAAAATTTCTGTTCACCGTGCGCCGCGAAAGTAGGCAACTTAGTGCTAATGCGACTAATTAAGACGAGAGGAGGATGAAGCTCTTACCGTTTGAAACTTAAAAGCTATTAAAGGCCTGACTAGGTCGAACCAGTGAGTTAATTTCTTCCCGACTAAATCTGGCAGTATCACAACGAGGGAGTTTCCTATGCTCCGAACAACCATATCTGAACTGAGAACAAAATTATGAAAAATTATTCAGTGAAGAAACATTCAAGGTACAAAAATTGCAATTTGGTTCTTAACCTAATCTAACCTGACAAGCAGAGTTATTGCATATTAGGTGCATATTAGTTACGGCAAATTTAAATTTTGACAGGTTGCTGAAATCGCAAAGCATGCTAGGCTTTATAGAGAAGTTCGGCTGAATGAAAATTTAATCTATATATCTCTCTAGATCGTATGTGTTTTGTGCTTTCTAATTTTACTTTGTCAACATAGTGCCTGTTACTTGTCTTGTGGTAGTTGCGTTATTTTAAAACAAATTTTTTTTAAAAAATGAGAAAGAAAAAAAGAATAGTTTCTGAATCAAAAACTGAAAACTTAGAAAGATGCGAAGAAGTGGCGTAACTCACCTAAATACTATACAAAAAGGAAATATTTCGAAGAGGACAGATGCACTAACGGGCAAATGTTTCTCTTCACGGGTCATCGTCAGCGATGCTAAAGTGAAAGCTCTATTGTCGAACGTTAGTTGAAACGTCACATGAATCGTGTCAAACAGAAGTTCTTCTCTCACAAGCTCGATCCTCATTTCCTGGAAAAAAAAAAAGAAATGTCAGATGAATTTTTTTTTTTTTGATAAGATCAGATTCCAACCGAATTCTTTACTTCGCCCTTAATTCTTTTAATAGAACTTGACTAAGCATCAGCCGGAATCTCGAGGAGAGATCACGTAAGGAACGAAAGAGTCCGTGAGATCATGAACGCCGAGCAGAACATCGTGCATGAAATTATGACCAAACAGCTTGTCTGGTATGGTCATGTTCAACGAATGGCGGATGATAGGTTGCCTAAGAAGGTGCTAGATTGGGTTCCTCCTGGGAGAAGACGTAGGGGACGCCCAGCAAAATCGTGGATTGGTGGCATTCAAGATGAAATCGCAAGATGCCATCTACCAGATGACCTCTGGATCGATAGGCAAGGATGGCGATTAGGTGTCGCAGAGCGCCCGAGCGCGCTGTAAAGCGACTAGAATGTATGTACTAAGCATCAGAATTAAATAATATAAAACAGGAATAATGAATTCCTAAAGAACAGTTACTAGGCGAACAAAATAATTGTCATTTTGAAAAAAACTTACGCACACCTGTGATGGTGGCATTGATTGCCGAAACGCCTCAGGTCAAAATGAAAGTTTTTTAAAATGAAAATTATTTTGTTCACAGCTGAATGNGGTCTCGTCAAGGTGCGTCTTTGACCTCGCAGTGTTGGATCGTGAATTCTCTTTTTATGCTGTTTGCCTATTTTGAAATCTCTGTAAATGAAAACTAAAGGGGTTGATATGTGCGAGTTAATGACGCGCCTTATCAACACATTGTGTTGGAGTTCACTGCTTGTTTTTTAATGAGTAGATTACTTCTATTCGATCGATTCTTTCAATTCTTGATATGTGTGCGTAGAAAAGATAAGTAGTCCAGGGACGAACCATTTTTATCGCATAGATTTTTGCAGAGTCAGTTTGAAAAATCAGTTTTTTAGATTTCGACAAAAATTATCTTCAGTTGTAAAGAAAAACTGCGAGCTGTCTCATGTTCGTGACAGTAGTGGGCACAAAAGTGCGAGATAACCCGGTAATTCCGTGCTCTGACATTAGTAATTTAGAATTTGAACATTTTCGTAGAGTACCCTTCAATAGGCTGGTGTAAAAAGCTCAATTTTTCAGTTTTTATATTGATCATCCGGGTCGTATATAAAATTAAGAATTAAAAGACACATTCGTCGATTATTTAAACCAACAATTTGCAAATACAAATGTTTTCATGAAACACATGAACCACATGAGTGATGTGTTAGACAAGAGACGGATGTGGTAAAAAATATCGTTGTCTGGAAAAAGGGAAGGAGAAGTTTGAGTTACGGACGAAGAAAAGAGGCTCAAGCAATAAGGACGAAAAAGACAAACGACCTTGCTCCAGTTCACCCCATCACGCCTCTTCACAAACCCTGCCGTGTTTAGCAAGAAAGGCGTGTCTCCAATAGAATCCTTGGGCGCATTTGCCCTTTTTGCTGAACTTGCGGGAGCAAGAGAAGTGCACTTTGCAGAATTCTTGATTTCCGCCTCAAGCGTAACGCCGAACGCGAAAGAAGGTTTCGAAAAGCGCTTAATATACTCTTCCCAACGCATCCATAAATTCCGCCACGTGACAGCCAACAACTGCCGGATTGTCTCGGAAAGGACCAATGAATGGCGTCGGCCCAAGTTCAATGAATTTTTACGTGGTATTTGTGGAAATTTTACAACCGATCAGCTTGCTGTTTCAATTGAATATCGATGCACCAATGCCAAAATGCTTCCTAAATTGGACGGATTTAACCGTAATGAACCCGACTATATCAGACGTTGCCTAAGTTCTCTTGTTCTATTTTCCTGACTGGGAACTGAATTAAAAAGTAACTTAAAATGTGGTAAGTTCATTTTGGACGATCGAGGGGAAATTCTCATAACCTTACAAGGCGTTATGATGCCAGTTTCTCTGTTAAAAATAACACATGAGAGAATTTGCCAACTTGAAAGCGATGGCCTAAGTGCAAACCACGTATCTTCATTGCGGTGTTTCAACAAGTTCACTCCTATTTTATTTTTTCGAAGAAAAACATGCCAACTTTATAGCTTGAAAATTTTACAGAATATTCTATGAACCGAGAGGAAAATTCAAGAAAGTTTTCAAGCAATTACGTTGGTTAGTTTTCCAAAGGAAAAATAAAGTATGACAGGTAATTTGCAACGTCGTAAACGGAAATACGTCGTTTCGCACTTTGGCCATCGAAATGCAGCTAGACCAATTTTGAATAAAGCCGTCTCTCACTGATCTCCCCTTGCCCTCTTTGCCTTTTAATCTGAATATTGATTAAATGAACTAGACCTGTTTGACCACTCTATTTTATTCGATTTATTTAAACCTATGGCTTGAATGACTACATTTGATACTGCATAATCTCCTGCCACAAGTTAATGTTTTACAGGTGACTAATCGACATTCCATTTTAAAATTGTGTACCTAAATGGTGTTATTCCATGCGAATTCATAGAAAAGTTTGAGGCATTAATTCTGTATTTAAAGGCTGGAGAGAGATCCAGGAAACGTGAAATGCAGAAAGGCTAATTGGATCGGTCCGTTAAAAAGGGCTCTAGCTCCAAAAATGAGAATTCGAGAAAATGGTAATAACCGTTTTAATTGACCCCTCATAAATCTCAGAGCTCTAAAATATTAAAGCGATGAATTAATTAATCACTTTCAGTGGCGTGGCGTGAATCGCGATATATCGATTGTTATGCCATATAAACCCATGGTAAAGAATCGATTATTAAGTTGTTCGCTCCGAACACCCTGCCTATCGATCCTTTTCCATAGGTTTAAATGGCCGATCAATCGATAAATCGGAAAGCACGCCACGCCACTGATCACTTTAATAATTAATCTGACATTTAAAATGGGTTACTTCCCTGGTAAAAATTGGCGATAGGAGCAGCGTTTCAAAATACCATAGGAATTCTTATAGCCGGCTAAAGCAGGCAATAGAAAATCATATAGCTGGCTGTAGAAAGCGGAGCAAATCATATAGCCGGGCTATACGAAGTGATAAAAAAGTATGCAGCCGGGCTAGAGTTCCTATCGCCGGGCTTTACACTTTATCGCCATCGGCTATAAAAGGCTATTAGAAATTGTAGAAATTCGTGTGCTTTGGAAATCAGTAAGTTTGATACGGAACCACCATAATATTCACAAAACACACATTATATTTTCCTTTAATACATATTTTTTTTCATCAATTAAAATGAGAATAATCCATACAGGATGTGCAAACATTTCAAAATCACGAGTTGAAAAACGCTGACTCCGCAAGATTATATTGGAGCCTAACACAGAGCGGAGCGGCGTGCTGCCAGCGATAAGCGCGCACCAGCGCCTACAAACCTAACAGGGATACTTCACGCATGGCGCAATGCGTGAAGTATCCCTGTTAGGTTTGTAGGCGCTGAGGCGCTTTTCGCGCTGGCTGCCCGTCTGCCACGGCGCTTGAAGCGACTATTTCACACCAGAGGTATTGCACAGTATCATATGAAATTGAAGGCGCTCCAACATATTAGGAACGGCAGGCATCCTTCAAAAGTACGCAGCTTTCCGCGCAAAATAAATCAAGATACTACGGCCCAAAAATAGAGCAGTAATCCAAAAACAGTCCTAGCATCCGTGATTAGTAACATTTAGCATACACTTTATCGCCTGGCTGTTGCTCAATCGCCATCGGCTATAAAAGCTATAAGAAATTGTGCAGCCGGCTATAGAAGCTGTTGAAAATTTTACAGTCGGCTTAAGGTCTATGGTATTTTGGAACACGGATTCTACTGCCAATTTTTACCAGGGTTTATATATTTCTACCGTTTTTTCGTATCTTTACATCTAGCGCTTGAGCCTTTTTGTAACTGACCGACTCTATTCTGCTTTATTTCGTCCGATTCATATTGATGGGCAGATTGCGAGAGGAGTGAGACAAGCGTTAGCGGCAGTCACTGTCACCATGCACTATGCAGAACTATGATGGTGTAACTGGAGCCCCCGCTCAAGGAGATAACAGAACTCAGATAGGTGCCCCTGGTCTGGCGCTCTCTTGATATCTGACGGCCGCTGCCGCTCAAATATTAATGGAACCGATTGATCTGATACGCGCATCAACGTACTGTATGGGATCGCAATGTTATCTTCACTCATAGATTGGCATTTTCGATTGGGTAGCTGTTGAGATCCATTTTCCGCAGCCAAGTTATGAAAATACTCCGCTAGTCTGATAAGGCCTCATCTCGTGCAATCCACTTACTTGTGAGAGCATTTGATCTTGCCAATTTTCAAAGGTGTGTAATTAAAGTGGCGTCATTAAAATAAATCGAGTGTCATATGTTGTTATAAGCCACGGCGAGAGACAAGTATGTTTGCGTCGTTTATTTTTATTCAAAGGAATGCGTCACATCGGTTTCTGTACCCAGCTGCCATTATTAAATTTCGTCTACCAATGGGTCTCTGGACGAAGTAAGAATTATAGTACAACATAACATTATTCTGCTTCGAGATTTCAGGAGGAAAACTAATCTTACAACGGAAAGTCTGAGGATCAACTAATGAACAAGACACAGAGACAGGAGACCCTTCATTGGCCTCTTGGTGATAGGTGGAAGCGTTTACTTTTGGGGATTCAACACTTCCTTATGGACAACTATAAGGGAGCAACAGCCATCTTATACTAACTAGGAGAATTGTGAGCTTCGAGCAACGGCATGAACGAAATAAGTCTCCCAAACTTGTTGTAAACACGTGATTAACCACTCACATAGTAGGTAGGTCAAGACTTGAATGTTGAAGTCTCGAAAGTAAAAGCTTCCACCTTCGCCAAGATACCAGTGGAGGGTCTCTCATCTCTGAATATATACAAAAGTTAACGATTTAAAATTGGTTAAATGGCAAAGATACAGATGACGCCATTTGTGTCGTCTAACTTCCATTTGATCTTTTTCAATAATACTTGTTAATATCTCGTCCAGGAGTTGATTATCGAGTTTCCTGCTGCGAGAATAGTTTTACACTGAAGATTCTGATGAGGAAGTCATGTGACGTTTCTTTGTAGTTCAAGGAAAAGTGCAAAACCACTCATCTCCGTATGCGACGTTGCAGACTTCCTGCATACTTTATTTTTCATTTGGATAACACATCAACGTAAAATTTACACATTTTTTTTTATAGATTGTGAGATAAGGAGTAAGTTTAAACTGAGCCAATAATATCTTTAGGCACATTTCTGCTGACTAAAATACTGTGTCAGCATGTTATTTTTTCGGTGCCCATTTTCAGCTCTTCAAAATTTCTTCAGCTCTTTTTGGCCTTAAAAATGTTGACTTGGCAACGGTGTCCTGTGACTTGGTGTTCGGAAGTTGTATGACTCACGATAGAGCGGTCCAGTATCTCAAAATTGCCAAGATGACAGCGCGAACAATAACGTCGCAATTTAATGCCGAAGTGTGCCGAGTGTGATAACAACGCCAAAGCGATCTGAAAGTAGGTATACGCCTTCAAAGCAGTGCGGCGAGCGCCAAGCAAAATTTTACCATAGCCATGTAGGCCAGTGAATTTTGCGCTTACTCCACGCTACTGCACTTGCAGAATAATAAAACACTCAATTTAACCACCGCTGCGTCATAAAACATTTCAATCAAAGCGGGCACTTCATCAAATCAGAGCGGATTATAAAGTTTTTAACAATTTCAAAGCGCTGCACAATGGAACAAGTCAGGGAGAATTTGGACAAAATGTGGAAACTTTGAAAGCTTTAACGTCTCCTAATAACACGTTGAAGTTTGAAATATGGATTCATTGGTTTTCTGATAAAATGTCCGTAAAGATCCTTCAAATTTAAAATTTGACGAAATAAACACCAAAATTTACAGTTTCAGAAAAAAAGCATGTAAGACCGCCTCCGTTGACTCGATGCGCTGTGCACTGTTTCGGAAAATTTTTACGCACTCGTTCAAAATTGTGGCATCTTAATATTAGTAAACTCTTCATTTTAACCTCTAAAGTTATTGATAACATTAAATTTTCAAATGTATTCCACTTGTTTTCTAAATATATCTACGTAACCGTCAACCGAAAACTGGAAGACATCAAAATTAAAACCATGGTATCGGAGTACGCACGTAACGCGAAGAAAAGTCCCTAAAATATCTAATCAAACCAAAGTTATGACGTATTGGAGTTTCCGAATCGGAAAGTTAGTTCCGAGAGAATGCTATCAGAATTCCCACTTACCGCGTTCAAGGTGCGGGATTATCGGGTGTGGAAATTTAAATTTTCTCGTGAATGTCCATGTATTTCCACAAAACTCATTATAATATCGTCAGGTACTAAACCATAAGACAGCAATTGATTAAAAATCAATTTTTAATCATAAATCAATTTTTAATCATAAATTCTTTCAGAATATTAGGGCTCTCCTATAGAATTCCAAACGACAACGCCTTGAATACAACTATTCGTACTCAGGGGGTGTGCGTGTTGCATGTCGCATCAATTGAAGGCGTTCTGGCTTTCTTTCACCTTCCCTGTAATAAAGAACTGTGATTGTGTCTTATACTCGCAGCACGTTATCTTGATTACACTGAAGAACTATAATGCCTCACCTTATGATAAAAATGTCTTGCTACTTCTCTAATTTGGCCCATTGTGTAGTAAACGAAGCCTCTTCTTTTGCTCCTATAGTGCAAAGTCAGTCCTTGTCTACTTTCATTCTCACAGATGAAACTTGGCGCTCGCATTCGTGGGTATGAAAATTTTAAGTACTCGTGTAAGTTATCCAAACCTGCAAAATTGAGACAAATGGAATTAAAACAGGAATCTCCAAGAATGTTGATACATTTACTTATATTTTACTCCATTGGTTCAACTCCTTGTTGATTCAAATTCATACAATCAATCGTATATATTGATCAACTTCATCTCGATCAGCAATGATCAGTATTCATAGTTATCGCATTGGCTGAATGGAAACACTTTAAACTTAAATGTACATAATGAGAGCAAATAACTTAGGTACTTGCACAAAGAATTCGATTGTGACGGTTTTAGCCTTTGTTATCAACAAAAATATTTTTTTTTACATTGTAGAGGAATTTTCTTACATGACAGAAAAATTCTGTAACGTTTTCCCGGGGATTAGAAAAGCATAAAATTAATCAGTTGAAAATGTATAAAATGTTGAATTTTCAGGAGGTAACGAAGAATTAAAATAGTGTAATGGTACACATATCTTGATTTTGATCATTGAAAGTTGAATAACGGAGTATTAAAGCTAAAATTAGCTGATATAGTATACTTTTTTAGTGCAATATTGGGAGTCATATGTCCCATTTTAATGTCAATACAAATTAGCTCAATCACGTTAGGTTGGAATTTTGGTATAACATTTTTGTTCTCAATTTACACTCAAAACTTATGTCTCAACCATCGAAATTCAACTCCTGTAACTGCCATGATTCGTGACTTCGCGAGGAAGAGAGTAAAATTTGTTTTTGATTATTAAAAAATGTGTCTTGTTGCACATTTCTTTACACTCTAAAAACATTGTCAAGTGTTCTTCATACAGCCCTTCGAAAATTGATCCTCAACAGGAATGCCTATCATCCTTCATCTGATACTTTCTTGTTTTTTAAGGGGCGGCACGAAACACTTTTGAACTTTGGTTTTTCTTACCAATCACGACCTTCGGAAATAATGAGTTTTTGGCGCTTGTGTGATTCCATAAATAAACGGTTCAATTCTCGGTTGATTAATTCAACGTTCGCGCGTTATTCCGATCTGCAAAAAACCGCCGCATATTCTCTCACCTCCGGTGAGAACTTCGACTTACAAGACGAGAAGATCCTCGAAGCTTGGAGGTTTTTTACAATGGGCGAAAAGTTCATCGAGCCTTTTTCCAATTTTCATACTCTCGTCGGGGAGCTAAAATAATTAAAGCCGGATCCAATTATCGGAGCCTATTTAATGCGTTCGTTATTCGTCTGGAGAATCTCTCCACCACCCTTCGGGCGAATCGCATCGATTTTCGAGCGAAATTTGGCCGCTATTCATGTTGATTTCTTCCATACGAAACCTGTGATGAAGTGGACCGCGTTTAGCGGAAAGGAACCAAGCTATTTCCACTATCGCCAAATTTAATGGGGCAATTTAATTTTTCACATGAAAACGGCTGTGCGAATTTTTGTTCAAATTTCAGTGAATTCCCTGTATAGTACGAGGCAAATACCTTAAAATTTCCAAAGGAGCCCGCACGAACATTTTCTTGTAAAAAAGTAAATTGCCCAGTTAAATTTGGCAGTAGCTAACGTGGCTTGGTTCCTTTTTGCCAAACACGGTCCCAATTTTCTATACATTAATCGTCGACAGTGAGGTGAAAAACATTGACAACTCATTTTGCAACGTTGCAACTTCTTCATTGCCTTTTTTGTACGGGTAAAAGAACACGAACACTTCAGGATCTGCCATGATTTTTCTGAGATGTGTCGAAAAAAATTATTCTAATGTTTCATTCAGGTCTAGTTGTATGCTTGCTCTTAAAAGAGAGAGAGAAGTGAGAGCACGAACCTTCAAAATTAAAAAAAATGATCCAAAATTTCACAGTCCAGAAGGTAAACAGGCCTGGATAAATAAAGAAGCAGTTTCAACAAAGAGAGGTTAACTAGTGCGCCGATATTTAGGCCTAATTTAGCTGAGAGTTTGACAAATATTGAAACAAATAGAAAAATAATAGCTATCCCGATCTCAGAGACGGATAATTTCGAATGCACCGAGAGAGATTCCTAGGCCACTTCCTTTATCTTGAATTTTTGAATTTTAAAAATTTGACTAAAAATTCTTAATCTTTACTCATAGTCCCACATCCACCATCTTTATTTTCGAATTTGGAACATGTGCGTTAACATTCAAGTATCCCGGCACAAAATGCCACCTGGTACCAAATTTCACAAAAATTGATCGAACAAGAACCGCACATCACACGATCAGCAGGACCCTCCACAGTGGTGAAAGATACCAGTCAATTGACGAACGTTGGAGCGCCTTCAATTCCTTTTGATACTGTGCAATACTCCCGAGGTGGAATAGTTGCTCAGAGCGCCTTCAAACGTGTCGCTTCGACTTGAGGGCAGAAGATAACCATTACGGAAATCTCACTTTAGTGCGTGCGGAGTTAAACAATACTGGTTATCATCAATTATGAGGTAAGAAACATTTATACTTAAATTGGCACGATGGGACTTTGTCACTGCCTATTTTTTACGGGTAAAAGAATATGAACACTTGAAAATCTGTTGTGTGACTTTTCCGAGATACGAAAAAAAAATATGATTGTATTATTTCATTCAAATCTATTTGTATGCTTTCTTCGGGACCTCAAAAAAGTTTCAACTCTTTTGATCCATCACAAAATTACCTAATACAACGGAAAAAAAAATTAAGCTGAAAAATTATTGAGTGCCCATTCAATTTGACTGCTGATATCCATGTATCATTTGCATGGTTTATTGAGCCGTCCTTAGAGTTTCCTGTATTTAAGCAAGGTATTTTGGGTGCTTCCAAGCTTCTTTTTGGGTGTGTCTTCAAACATTGCTGATTATTAAAGAAGGTACGGGAAGGATTTTAGGTTTTCTCACTGCTTTGTTATTCAATTTGGAAAGGATGTAAACACTTCCGCGGAAAAATCGAACTTCCAAAAACTGACAAATATTTATTTCCATTTTCCCCATACTGCCGTGCTAAGGAAGAACGCCGTATGAGCCTTCAGACTCTGCCAAATTTCCCTCGAAAAATCATGAATTTTCCGAAGAATTGGTAATTATTTCCCTTCCAATTATTCAGGAAATGTTGTTCTTAATCTGATCTAAATTGTCCGAAAATTTCAAAGAGAAAGATTAATATCTTTCTTCAAAAATAAATATTTTCTTTGAGTATATCTGGAAAAATTCGAATGCTCATACGACGTTTTTCCTTAGCACGGCAATGAAAAGCATCGATGTGCACGCGATCAGTGGCGTGGCGTGCTTTGCGATGTATCGATTAATCTGCCATTTAAATCTATGAAAAAGAATCGATTATCAAGGTGTTCGCAACGAACACCTTGATAATCGATTCTTTACTACATCTTCAAATGGAGAAATATCGACAATCGATCCTTCACGCCACGCCACTGCACGCGAGCGAGGACGCGCGTATCAGAATACTTTTCCTTGAAATTTAATGTTTTTTTCATCCGTTTAATGCTTTCATCTTCCTGTTCATTTTGCTGGAAGTTTACGGAAAAAATAGATCGTAACACAGCTCATCAAAAAATAACTCTAAAATAAGTAGGTCAAGAAAATACCTGCAAAGTTGAGTCAAGAATATTGTTATGAAAAACACTTATCACCTATCCTTATTTTATAGATCGTTATCATTTCTCGTGGCCTACGTTTGAAAGCGCTTTGTGATCAGTCATTCCGTGTTGTGAACATTTTCTCGATTAAAAAAGCCCTTCGGTTAAAGTTTCGTGATCCATTAGATATTTTTTTCCGGCGGTATGTTTCATAATAGTAATCTCTTAATTTATCGCTATTTTCTTTTATTTTCTTTTTGTTCAGCTATGGCTGCTCCTCAAAATTTTACACAATATGAACATGATCAAGAGTATTTACTGTCAATTTCCTTCAGAGTTTGCGATGGCATAATCCGACAGTCAAAGCAATCCCTATTCCTCGTTGTAAATTTAAATTTTGATCCTTTGGTCGAACCTTTGATTCAACTCCTACATAGTTCTTCAATTTCGACAATTCTAATAACCCATTTTGGCAGCTTTGTAGACATTTTAGTTCCATACCATCCACATAACATAATGTTTTTCCTCGATAACCTTGAGGATTCTCTAAGTTTAATTCTCAATTCTGCTTCAAGACAGTATCATAATGATATTGGACTGAAGAGAGGGAAATTTTCAGAACCTTTTGATTATCCTACCAATTTAACAAAGTTCAGAGATCACGGATCTCGAAAATCCATACGCTACTGCGTGAAAATAGAAAATCAACTTATGTCAAGAGAAGCAGCAAAATGTGACGAAAATATGTCCGTAACACATAATGAATTGGAGGGTTTATCAACTTTGACCGATCAGAATTTCAATCTGACGAAAGGTTTACATGCAAATCACATTTGGAATTCAAATAACCACATAATATTTATACTTAGAAATACCCGGAATGAACTTCATACAACGTCTTCCATTCTCAAATTACATCAGCAATCAGCCACACATGAACCACATAACTCAACTCGTAATAATTGTACACCGTCATATGAGGATGAAATGTTAAGTTTCAGCTTCAGATTTTTTTGGCGCTTCTTCAGAGGATATAAGACAATCGTTTGCCTGGAAAGAGGTTGCGCTAAGTATGATCCATTTAAAGAGAGAATTATTTGGTTCGACGCTAAAGATGAAGAATTTTTCGACTTTACTGTGAACGATATGAACGGAAAATCGGCATTTATAGTCGAAGACCTCTCTCAGATAGACGAAGGAGTGCAAGACATATATTTTCATAATGTGATGGCAGATACCTTACTTGCGATTTTCAAACAACTCGAGATATCGATGAACTACACTTCGACTTATATCAGTCAGGTTCTAGAGAGCCAACTAAAACCTATGGATCTAAGTCAATTCAAAACGGGACTAGAATTCGGTGCAGATATACATCTCTCTAAACCGTTCTTCAATGGTGATGAAGGAAATTTTGACAAGTTTGATCAGACTGTGGGCGTTGAAACAAGAGC